GGCATAAACCGGTTTTTAACTGCCATGAGCCAGTTAGCAACTGGCATAAACCGTTTTTTAACTGCCATAAGCCAGTTAGCAACTGGCATAAACCGGTTTTTAACTGCCATAAGCCAGTTAGCAACTGGCATAAACCGGTTTTTAACTGCCATGAGCCAGTTAGCAACTGGCATAAACCGGTTTTTAACTGCCATGAGCCAGTTACCAACTGGCATAAACCGTTTTTTAACTGCCATGAGCCAGTTAGCAACTGGCATAAACCGTTTTTTAACTGCCATAAGCCAGTTAGCAACTGGCATAAACCGGTTTTTAACTGCCAGTTAGCAACTGGCATAAACCGGTTTTTAACTGCCATGAGCCAGTTAGCAACTGGCATAAACCGTTTTTTAACTGCCATAAGCCAGTTAGCAACTGGCATAAACCGGTTTTTAACTGCCATGAGCCAGTTAGCAACTGGCATGAACCGGTTTTTAACTCCCATGAGCCAGTTACCAACTGGCATAAACCGTTTTTTAACTGCCATGAGCCAGTTAGCAACTGGCATAAACCGTTTTTTAACTGCCATAAGCCAGTTAGCAACTGGCATAAACCGGTTTTTAACTGCCATGAGCCAGTTAGCAACTGGCATAAACCGGTTTTTAACTGCCATTAGCCAGTTAGCAACTGGCATAAACCGTTTTTTAACTGCCATAAGCCAGTTACCAACTGGCATAAACCGTTTTTTAACTGCCATAAGCCAGTTAGCAACTGGCATAAACCGTTTTTTAACTGCCATAAGCCAGTTAGCAACTGGCATAAACCTGTTTTTAACTGCCATGAGCCAGTTAGCAACTGGCATAAAGCGGTTTTTAACTGCCATAAGCCAGTTAGCAACTGGCATAAACCGGTTTTTAACTGCCATAAGCCAATTAGCAACTGCCATAAACCGGTTTTTAACTGCCATAAGCCAGTTAGCAACTGGCATAAACCGGTTTTTAACTGCCATGAGCCAGTTAGCAACTGGCATAAACCGGTTTTTAACTGCCATAAGCCAGTTACCAACCGGCATATACCATTTTTCCAAACTGGCATGCCCGCTACCACATTTGGCTCTTGCTGTCACTCCAGAGTTGGCCTCCATTTTAAATGTTGGCCCAGGTATTAGGTTACTTTAAGTTATATTCAATGATTTTTCTAGCCAGGTTAAAGGTCTTTAGTATCTCAGGTTACTCTGCTTAAAACCTCTGATATGCAGCCTGAGAGGGTCAAATCGGTTATGTCTCAAGTCTCTCATTTGGATGCAGGTGGATGATGACATCATCAGCTCCATCTCCATGGCAATAAGCAAACTGCAGGGGTCCTGATAGTTGCTGGTTTTCTTGCTGAGGTGAACCAACAGAAGTCTCTGTAGGACCTTCATGATGTGGTTGTCAGGGCAGGAGGTCTATAGTCACTGAGGACTGCTGGTTGAGTCTTCTTTGGTCCTGGAACAAGGCAGGAGGTCTATAGTCACTGAGGACAAACAGTCTGATTTCAGTACTGGAGTAACATTTATTTCACCAAAGGAAAAGCTCTACATATGAAGCTACAATTGTCCCATTTAGCAGTTTTTACAAACCCAAGGTGAGTCCTTCCTGCATGTGTAACAGGAATACTTTGTGCAGTGCACACAACGCTCAGTGCTGTGGTTCCTGTTGCAGAGATTGCACACCTGTCCTGCTTAGAATATCAATTAAAAAAACTTTAAAAAAAAATAGAGTTTAGTACATTTTCCCAAAGTAAGAGTTGTAGCGTGAACTAGATGAGGTTATCTCTGTTTGGAGGCACTACAATGATCTATAGTGCAGTCATTGCTCATTTTATACTTATTCTAATAATAGAATAGTGGTGCCATTTGTCATTTAGGCTTTTGGAAATTCCTCAGAAAAGTATTTTTCGTATCCAATAAATGTGATAATAATCCACCTCTCCTTGGTGACGCTTTTGAATATTTCTCTCTGATTATTTTGCAACTTGCAGACGGAGCATTTGCGGAGCAGGGAGCTTCCCATAGGGTCCAATGTAATTCTCCCAGCGTGATAGGAGACTCGTTTTAAGGAAACTACGGTCTGCCTTGCTCTGGTTGCGGAGAGGAGTCTGTTTTGTAGAAAAAAATCATCTGCAGAAGAGTTAATAATGTGGAAAAGCCGAATCTGTGAATATATTCCCAACTTTACTGCAGTTTCACGATGCCGTCTGCGTGTCTGCAGCGCAGGAGAGACAGAGGAGAGATCGCTTGAGTTATATTTCCCCCCCAAATAAATATTATTGTATGAATATTCGTGCTTTCTGCAGCGTTCCAGCTCATGCAGCTATTTTCATTGAACAGATCAGTTATCGTCACTAACCTGTCTTGGTTTATTTGGATTCAGTCTCTGTCTCATTGCATTTTTATCAAATTAATTTCTTGTGTATCTCATCTCATGTATTTCATACCACATTTATTAGATTACAAAATAATCCTTTTTTTTTAGGAATTTCCCAAAGCCTAAAATGACAAATGGCATCTCTATTTTATTATTAGAATAAGTATAGAATGAGCAATGACTGCACTATAGATCATTGTAGTGCCACCAAGCTTGTAGCACACATAGAAAACCCCATCTAGTTCAAACGAGGAGAGACTGAAGCACCCTCAGACTATTTAAGCTCCGTTCTCCACAGAGGCTTTTTGTTTGTCTCCTAGAAAACAGTGTGGCTGTGTGAGAGTGAATTAGCTGGAACCTCTGCGGGTGTGATGGTGTCTCTGTAAGTAGAGGCCTGAGCTATGCCAGAGGAGTGGTGGGAGGATGCGTGGCAGCTAAATGCCACACTAATGTTAACTGCTGGTAAATGACTGCAGGGAGAATTCAGGCCAGCGTTGGTACAAAGCTGTAGTAAACAAGCTTTTGAGTCAGCTGGCATGCCAACGTCTGGAGCAAAGATCAGAGAGAAAACACAGACTGAGCGAAAGTTGTCATCTGGAGATCCTGGCTGCACTCCAAGTGCTCCCACACACTTCAGTGGAAATGTCCTCTGAATGTGGAGCAACTAAGAGACTCTGCTGGGTGTTTACCTGCAGGATAAAATGACGTGGGTTAATGGAATCCTTCAATTTTACCCTTTTAACAGTAAAAACTAGCAGCTCACCCAGCTGGGGCTCAGGGATGTCATGGCTGCTCTGTTGAAGCACCAGGGAGACGTCAGCAGGAGTTTTAAGCAGACTATCAGCTTGGGAGCATAATAATAATGAGTGCAAAATAAACAAAATTGCACTAAAATTTCCTGCTCTCCTTCTAAAGAGGCCAAATGACCCAAGTAAGAGGACCCTGTACTCCTGGAGACCCCCTCACCTATAAGGTCCTGAAAATATCCAAATTGAAATCAATATGCTTTGTTAAAGGAAAGCTCTGTAGTTGCACCTTGAAGCTTTGTCTCTCCGGTTCTTTTCCTAAGAAGAGATAACTCAGCTCAAACTCTTTAAATAACAGTTTGTAATTTATATGCATCAAATAACCATAAGACATGACAACAGATTTGGACAGAAATTTTAATCTTACTCAGAAGAGAGAAGTTGCTTTGAGTTACAGAATGTAGCTGCTTACCAACCGGGCTCACATCTCAATTAAGTGGCCCCCAATCCCTAGAGAGAAGCATTTTATACAACTCCGGTACCCCTCATCATTACATCATCACATGATTACATCACACATGTTTACAGATGAGGAGACATCCATGGCTCCAGCCTTATCAAAATAGTGGTAGAGTGGTATAATAATAATTCATTTAATTTATACTGCACTTTTCACCAAAAAAGTGCTACAAAGAGGCATTTAAAAAAGCATTAAAAAAGAAATACATAGAAATAGAAAATAAATAAATAAAATAAAATAATAAAAGCTGTTTTAAAAGAGAAAAAAGAAACATCTAAGGGGGACCAAAAGTTCTGCTAAAAAGAAATGTTTTAAGGCCTTTTTTAAAACACTCAGTGGACTGAGGTGCCCTCAAGCTGTCAGGGAGGGAATTCCACAGACGTGGGGCAGCAGCACAAAATGCTCCATCTCCCATTGTCCTGAGTCTCGTCAGCGCGATATTGGGATTTTGGCCGATATCCGATATGCCGATATTTTAAAACTCATGTAGCCGATAACCGATATCGATACCGATGTTAAAGCTGGACAAAAATAAGTAGTCATTGAAAATAGCAGTTTTGTTATCAATTTCTGACACTTTGAAAAATAATATACTCAAATATATTTTCATATGCTGATATCAAATTGATTTTTAAAAACGCGGTATCGATCTATTTTACTTTCAAAATCTCGTGAAATTTCATCGTTCTGTTACAAACTCGTGATATTTTGCAAATTCTTGTGAGATTTTGTTAGTAAAATAGATCGATACCGCGTCAATATATCAACATATAAAAATATGGCAACATTTCGGGGGATTTCGTAGCATAACGATGACATATAGTAAGTTTTCATTAGTAAAAGAGATTGATATGGTGTTTTTAAATGGCAATATATCAGCATATGAAGATATTGTGATATTTTAATGTATCAATATTTTTTCCCTTCGTCTTTAGAAGTTTTTAAGTCTGTAAAAAAGAAGTTTTTGAGGAAGAAGAAGAAGTAGTATTTCTTATTTTTAATTTTTTAGACTTTAGAAGCTCAGAAGCTGATCAAATATCGGGTTAAATATCGGTGGGGTGGCCGATGTCCGATATTCAGTTTTAAGGCCGATACCGATAGGGGGCCGATTATATCGTGCATCCCTAGTCCTGAGTCTGGTTCTGGGAATGTGGAGCAGGTTTGAGTGAGTGAAGGGAGCGGGACCTGTTCTGTGGCTTATTAAGTTCTTTGAGGTGGGGGGGGGGCATGCCCATGGATGCATTGATATGTGAGGAGGGAGACCTTGTATTCTAACCTGGTGGGGATGGGAAGCCAGTGTAGTGAATGGAGAACGAGGGTAATGTGCTCATGTTTCCGCACTCTCATCAGGATCCTAGCTGCAGAGTTTTGAACGTACTGAAGCCTCTGCAGACTCTTTTTAGGGATCCCAATGAGAAGTGCGTTGCAATAGTCCAGTCTGGAGGAGACAAAGGCATGGACCAGCTTCTCGGCGTCTGGGAGGGAGAGAATGGGACGGAGTTTGGAGATGTTACGGAGGTGGTAGAAAGAAGTCTTGCATAATTGATTTATGTGGGCTTCAAAAGTGAGTTGTGAGTCCATTCTTACACCAAGATTTCTAACAGTTGATGAAAGCGGAATGTTAGTACCAGAAAAAGTGATGCTGGTTATGGTTAATGATTTAGTTTGATGAGGAGTTCCAACCAGGATGGCTTTGGTTTTAGAGCTATTTAGTTGAAGAAAGTTTTTCTCCACCCATACCTTTATCTCCTCCAGACAGGTGGTGAGTTTTGATGGGGATGACTGGGAGGGTGGGGGGTCAGCTGTGACATTTACATAGAGCTGTATGTCATCAGCATAGCAGTGGAATGAGATATTGTGGCGGCTGATGATTTGGCCAAGGGGGGTAAGGTAAAGGATGAAGAGGATGGGGCCGAGGACTGACCCCTGAGGGACGCCACACGTAACTGTGTGTGGATTTGATTTTGAGACGGCCGAGGGAGATGGATTCTGTCCGGTTGGTGAGACATGACCTGAACCAACTGAGAGCAGTGTCATTTAGCCCAGCAGTGTTGGTCCAGTGGTTAGAGCAATGCGCTTGTGCTCTAGGAAGGTTGCAAATACCCGGTTCGATCCCCACAGTCTGCACCCTAACCAAACCCTTAACCCGAAACTTTACAGGGACCACAGAAGACCTCACCTATTCAGCCAGGGCAGCAATTCCCTCTACTGACCCTACTGAAGCTTCCTGGATAATAAACGAAATGTCTTTAAACTTGGAAACAAAGTCCAGTGGATTTTCTTTTTAACTTTTTTGGAATTTTTTAATGGAAGATGTTCATGCTGGGATGATCATGCTGTGGAGATGCTGCGTCGTGGATAAACTCCATGATCACAAACACAGACTTTAAAAGAGAAAGTTTCCCTGCAAAAGACGATAACACTAGATATACTTCATTCCCTTCTAAGAGCTGGAAATCATTGCTTATTAAGCTACATCATGTCTAAGTAAATCTAAGTAAGTGAATCTGACTGTAGAGCTTTGAATAACCCAGCAGCAGAATTCCCCCTCCCCCGCTACGCTCTTGGACATCGGCTGATGTTAAAGAAAAAAAAAAACACAGACTCTGATTATTGACCGCTAAGATGTTGATCAACTTGAGACAAGTTTTTAATCTGTAAAGCAGCATATTTGAGATTTCTTCTGAGAGTTACAATTATAGATTCAAAGGAGGTGTGTTTAGTATGAGGGATCAGGCACAGTTTTAGCCCTTTAAAAGATGAGCTAATAACAACAAAGGTCTGCAGTTGATAATGGATGGTTTTGCCTCTTGTTCATATATTATCTCAAACGTGTGTCTTTCCCGATGCCTTCTCCTTTATCTGCTGATTACTTTTGTTATTGCTGTTATTTTTCAGGGGAAGAATTTTACGAGACATCTCCCTACGAGCCGATCAATTTCTCTGAAGAATTCAGGCATGCCTCCATTATCTCAGGTAATGCTGATGTGAGTTTGCATGTTGCATGTTCTTATTACCATTTGGTACCAAAACTATGCTACATTTTGGGGATTTATACATACTGGTGGGGATCAACAACTCATCCCCAGGAGAAGTCCTCTTCTTTGGATAGGGGTCCTCGAGGGCCGCTGTCCTGCAGGGTTTAGAGACTTCCCTGCTGCAGAACAGTTGATTTCCTTTGATAGCTGATTAACCGGGTTTGGCTGAACGGCAATCATCACAATCAGCTGTGCTAAAGCAGGGAAACCTCTTCAAGGTGAAGGACAGGAGCCCTTGAGGATTGACTTTGGGCATGCCTGGGTTAGGGTCAGACAAACCCATAGGACGATTGTGTTGCTCATCTGTTGTTCAATCTGATCTCAGGAGACCAGTTTGAGCTGCTCATATTTGTATCCTTTTGTGTTAATATCTGGGTCACTTCTAAGGATCCCTTAGGAGAAAGAGATGAGTTAAAAGAAACAAGACATCCCAAACACATAAGGACGGTTGAGATGAGAAAACCATTTGAGCAGTATTTCAGAAGATTAGGGATATATGCATCTGTTGTCAACAATGTCTTGTCTGTTTTGAATGGGACTGAAAGAGAATACGATGAGTTGAATCTAAGAACTCAATTAGCAAGCAATGGAAGACTGAAACCGTTACAATATGTCTAATTTTTCTCTCAACTGAGATCCGGAAAAGAGAGCGCTGTAAGAGAATTTAGAGAACTGGCACAAAGTTCACTGTTAGAGTTAATTCTCAGGAGAGAAATTTGAGAAGAATGAGAAAATCTCTCTGGTCTCGATTATTGCTTATTTATATCTAGGAGATGGAAATTTGACATAAAGGAGATCTTATGTTAAATTTTGCTTTTCTATGGAAGGCATCTAATCTGCCTCTCTTAGGATAACAATGGGGTCCACCACATTATGACAAGGCCTTCGGTCACCATAAGGCCTGACGGTCCTCAGGTTTCTATCTAAGGAAAACCAGCTGATTGCATCAACTCATTGACTCTTCAGCAATCCCTCACACAAAGCATGCTTGTAGCGACAGTGAAGAGGAAAAACTCCCTTTGAACAGGAAGAAACCTCCAGCAGAACCAGGCTCAGTGTGAGCGGCCATCTGCTGAGGCCCACTGGGGTTCAAGGAGACAGAAGCACAGAAGCAACTGTCTTAATCGCAATTTAGTCATTAAGATATGTGATAGTTTTAGTCGACTAACACTTAAAAAGGTTTTAGTTTGGTTTTAGTCAGTTTTAAGTTGTAAAAAAGGTAACCTTTACACTTTTGAATAACAATCACATTCTTTACCAGACTGACAGCTCTAGCCTAGATAATACAATAGCTGGGTATAGAATGCTGCCATGCAGTTTATCATTGCTGTTGGGCAGAAAAATGTGATTTATAGAATTCAAATAAACTTTTTTTTATTAATGAATGCACTACTTAATAAAACCATATCTAACAAAAGCTGTGAAAATAGCAGATCTAGTTCAGCACATCATATTGGTTAATATAGCGGCCAGACAAGCTAACAAAATGTACAATAAAGGAATGGTTTTAGACATACAAGTTTTTCATGCAAAAGCAAACACTTCCTGTTGTACTATGAATCATGCATTACACACGGATCAATAAAATATTCATTACTCCAAAAAAGCAAAGAACACAACTTTGGCAATTTTGGCTTTATTTCTAAGAATTTACCCCTTGGTTACTGCTGCTCAGGGGTCAAAGTAGGTTTTTGTATAAACAAAAAACACAGAGAGAACCTACATAATTGCCTTTTAACACCATGACTTAGACAAACTTTATTGTCATTTTGTACACACAGGGTGTATACACAACAAAATTTCACTCAGTGCAGCCCATGCTAATCCAGACCTAAACTGAATAAATATGCTACCTAAAATGTTGAAATATTCAAAGGAAATATTAACCTCATATTTAAATAGGTAGAAACGAGAACAATGAGAGACAAATATTCTAAGATCTATGTACCTTTTCATCTGGATATTTATCCCAAAATAAACAGAATGCAATGAAATATTTTTTGGATATAATTTAGGGATTCCTTTTGGCAGAAATTAAAGAATTTTTAGTATCTCCTCTTGTGAGCTGGAATAAATAAAATCTTGATAGTTAGACAAAGGGATTTTTACACTTGGCAGAGGATGATCAGCCACATAGTTTATTGAGTAGTGAGAGCAGGAGGAGCCACACTCTGAGCTATGCGTGCATAACAACGCATTTCTGCACAAGCACAGATGGAAGAGAGGAGTTTTTCAGAGTTGAGAGTGCAGTACCGGACCATTCTGGGCTATTTTCTCCCCTGCTGCTGCCATGATCCATCTGTGTTCATGCAGAATGTGCAGCACTGCTAACCAGGTGGGCTGCATGACCAAACAAGACGCAGCAGCACGGCTGATACTGCTTAGCTTGTCTAACTAATTACAGCACAATGACGAATTTTAAATGCCTGATCCACGACCTGCACATTTTTATTTAGTCTTGTCTCATTTCAATGAAAAAAGCTCAAACCTATGACGAGTCATGTTTTAGTCATCAAAGATCCATGTTTAGCTCGTCAGTTTTTGTCATAGTCATGAAAATAAGGAGCCTGAACAAAATAATTTTGTCATCGTCAATGAAAACATCACTGCTCAGAAGGTTAGTAAATATACCAAAAACAGTCCTAAATACCTGACTTATAGAAGTACACACACCCAAACACAGTGGCAGTGGCTAAAGCGGATGTACTGAAGTGGCACTCCCCTGCTGACTTGTAACTGACATCAAAAAACCTGTCAATCCTTAGATGAGGCTTGTCAGCAGCCGACCAACTGGTGGTCAGAATTCGTCAAGAAATAAAAAGCTCAGTACCTGCTTTAAAATTTATGACTTCACTACCTGAAAATGATCTGCTAATGTGAAATCTTTTTTGGGGGGAGGAGAACTCTATTAGAGTAAACCTGAACATTATTAAAACATGTTCAGAAAGGACAGGGTTGGGAGGAAATACTGTTATTTCTTCACATTCTGTCAATACAAGGTCCAAAGTATGAAGATGAGAATGTGTGGGACTATTCACATTTTGAACAAAGCCAATGAGATAGCATTAAAGGGTGCACTTAAGCTAGCACTTTCAATGTATGCAGAGATGTCAACCCCCCTCTATGATGACCCTGTCAGTATTCAACACCAAATCAGAGAGGAACTATTAAAACTCATCTAAAAATTCAGAGTAAGGACCTGGTGGACGATACAAAGGTAAACAAAGAAGAGTTTGTTTTCTTTTTGGTTTGCAATTTGGATGAGGGAAACTAAGGGTTAAATGTTCAAAAAGGTTGTAATTACTAACTGCCTTTGGAGTAATCTGTAAGTCAGACCTGGCCCCCGGCAAACATTTGACTATGGTCCCTGGTGTCTCTAATGCCATGTTTGTGACTATGGTGCTGCCAATCACCAGAGTGGGCTTCTCAGTGGGTGTGTCACTGGGCAGGGAAAATCGGTTAGAAATGTGGATGGGTGGCTTTCCATGACTAAGCTTTCTGCATACCGATACCCAATTGCCTGGCTGCGTGGGGTGTCCCTGGTCCTGGCAACAGCTGGGCCTACTTAAACGCCTGGATGAGTTAGCCCAAAACCGGGACTCTAACACCCTCGCCTCCAAAGCTAAAAAATTCAACACTTATTACACATCCCGTTATCACTAAAGGAGGAAGAGGGATAACTGAACATCTGACACAGAGTTGGAGAGAGGAGAGGAAGAAGAAGAGTTGGAAAAGAGTCAAGGGAGGGAGAGAGAAGCCATAGCGATGCTAAGCTAGTTTTAGCCTAGGCTAGCTACTCCTTACTACCAGAAATAAAACTGTATGAAAGCAAAGTGCTCAGTAGAAAAGTGCAGCTGAAGGCGCTATGTTTTAATTTGGTTCTGGACAGCTTGAGTTACTTGGATATAGAGAAATAACAGAAGAAAAAAAAAACACCACGCAGCTCAGTAGTCTATACAGGAAGTGAACACAATAGGTCTCAATAACAGCAGCATTAGTAGCACCTAGGCATGACCTCCTGTATGAGGCAACTGCAGATACAACAGATTCCACTTCAGGAAAAGTACAAAGTAAACTCCCTAATCCAAAGGTGAAGCTGCCTAGTTGGTCCTCAAACAGGTTTGTCCTTAACAAAAAGGACCTTTAGTGAATTCATGCAAGCAGGACAGACTTGGACTTGGACATAATCAATAAAGCATTTCACTACACAGTGCAGAAGACTGGAAACAGATTTACTGAAATATTGACCTTCCCGGTTGTTAGAGCAGCTTTACCTCTACTTCCAAGCCTATTTATGCTGTAGGGATTTCCAGTACCTACTCTCCCGTGAAATATTACAGTTGTGTGGACACTGTTGTATAGAGGGACCCTCCAGACTGCCAGTATGACAGATCTGTTCTAGATCCCCTCCATACATCCCTCGGGAGTCATAGCAATATCCTCTAGTAGTAAGCCCAGGGGATGGATCAGGACTATGTCTTCCAACTGGATCTGGAAGAGGCGTTTGGTGAGAGGGAAATCTGGGTGTCTCCGCTAAGACTGCTGCCCCAGCATTTGTTAAGACTGATGTAAATAAATCATGATATGTGTGCGCTGAAACCAAGGTGTCTGCTTTAGATGTACACCTTTTTCATAGAACTCAGATCAAACTGTAGCCATGTGGAAGAGTTGCATGATTTCCTGGATGGGCCTTGCTGTGCAGTGAAGCAACAAGAAAAGCAAAAAATGCAGAGTGGAAAGCATATGAAATATATTATTTACAGATCAACATCTACTGAATATGCATATAATGAAACGAGTGCTGCAGATGTCCTCTGAAATAAAACTTTTCTGATGTAGGATTCTCTTTTTCTGATTACGTATAACACAATATGAACCACTTTTTTGTCCATTATTTTTTGCATGCTCAGTGAAGCTGTTAAAGTAAATGAAAATTTA